TTCAAAGCATTTGTGTTACAGATGTATGACATCTCATATGAAATTCTGAATGTTGTGGGTTTTCAATTTAAAGTTCAGTATTCCTTTGTGAGTGAAAGCACATTATACCCTTTAAAGGCACATTTGATTAATCCACAAGTCATTCTTTATAAATGAATTACTTTTGTAATTAAGTCAGAACCTTGTCTTTTATTATGAACTATGTAATTGACTATACGTTTCAAAGCTTATTGTAACTGACAACTTGTGATTGACCTTCTCCTTGTATCCATATGAAATATAAACAGGGTGATTCATTATGTTCCAAATTTTTGAGTTTTTTTCTTGCATTGTTTTTTTCCTTGTTATGCCTGCCTTCCCACACCACCCCCTTCCAAAGTTTGAGGGCGATAGTAGAAGGGTTTACAGTTTGCTACAGTTTGCTTCTGCTTCCTTTGTAGGACTCTTCTTTTGCCCTGAAAACACTGTTTCTGTTTCAGTCTTTACTTGGATAAGTCTTTGTATCCTGAGACTGTATCTTCACAGACAAGTGAAGCCTGTTGACGCTTATCTGTAGTGTGAAATGATTTACACTCAGGATCTGATACTCACATTTTACCTATTTCAAGTGTTTTTTACATTGGTCTAGCCCTAATCTGGACATGTAGGCTGAATGCCCATTTTTTTTCTGAAGTGCACTGGGTTCTTTCCTGGAACACATCTCCAAAATTAGTTTCACCTGAAAGGAGACTAGTTCATGTACACTCAGGCCACTTCACAATGTGAACCACAGTGAAACAAGTGGGGGCAATGGAGAAAGCCGCTTCAAAATCATAATCCTGGACTGAAAGAGTAACCCTGGGATTTTTCTCTATCAGTGAAGAGTTCTACAAATGCTAAAGTGCCTCCATTACAAATCATTTTTGCAAAGCAACAAGAACACAACAGTTCTAGAGAGAGATTGGTGACAGATCTGAAGATCAGGATGTGCCATGCAGATAATGGCAAAATTTGTAGATCATGGCTGCATTCATCCTTGGTGGGAATTAGATGTTATATGTCTGTCTATTCATAAAAATCTAGGCTTACATCACAGTCCGATTTATTTATTTTAAGGAGAAGGGCAATGGACTGGATTTCACTTCACTTAAACCAAAATTTCAGGGTAGTTCTGTCTGTTTTGGGGGAGCAAGAGTGCAGGGAGATTCTTTTCCTTTAACTTCAAATTACAACTATAGGAAAAGACAGGATAACATTTTTAACTGGTATTTGCTAAAATATTTACTTTATTACATGATTTTTCAGTGATATGAAGTCATAATATTTTATGATTGCCAAGTGAGCAAGGGGGATTGTCACAGTAAAAATATGCCATGGTTTTGACAGGGATAGAATTTTCTTCCTGGTAGCTGGTACAGTGCTGTGTTTTGGATTTAGTATGAGAATAATGTTGATGACCCACTGATGTTTTAGTTGTTGCTCAGTAGTGCTTATCCCAAGTCAAGGACTCTTCGGTTTCCCATGCTCTGCCAACGAGCACTCCATACCATAGAGTGTCATGCCCAGTATATAAACTGGGGGGAGTTGGCTGGGAGATGCAGATTTCTGCACAGGGACTGGGCATCGGTCAGTGGGTGGTGAGCAATTGTGTTGTGCATCACTTGTCTTTCTTGGGTTTTAGTTCTCTCTCTCTTTTTTGTTCTCCCTTTTCATTGCAATTGTTATTATAATATTTTATTTTATTTAAATTATTAAACCGTTCTTTCCTCAACTCACAAGTTTTACTCTTTTTCCAATTCTCCTCCTCATCCTGCGGGGTAGGGCAGGAGAAGTGAGCGAGCAGCTGTGTGGTACTGAGTTGCTGACTGGGGTTAACCCACAACAAAATAAAAGTTTAAATGCTTTGCACTTGATTAGAACAAAACAAACAAACAAATTCCAAGAATGTTTGATTCAGACATTTATCTTGAGTAGGTGACAAAAATGCAGACACGTGGCAACCTAGATGCAAGACAAATGTCCATTTCAAGTCTGTTCTGGAAATTTGTACATTTTGAAGTGGGTGGCATGTTTTCAAAAAAGAAAAAAGGAAAAGTGCTTCATTGTTTCAAACCTCATTAGACTTTTAATAAACAGAGTAGAGGCTGAGGAAGAATGTTCAAACAGTTGAAAGCTCTGTATAAGTGAGTTGCATTCCAGAAGGCTCTCAAATAACTACTGTTTTCTTTCTTCTATCTTTTTCCTTTATAATCAAACACATAATGTGTCTTGGCTGACATTTTTGATTGCTCCCAATAATGGGAATGATTTATAATACATAGCACTAGTGTAATCATGGTGTAAACCATTTCCAGTCATGTTACATAATTATTGTACAGATATGTACTGTATGATGGTTTCTTGTCCTAGATGCATGTATGTTAAAAGTATTTAAATTGGAAAATAGAGTATTAAACGGAGGGTGGAAACTTTAAAAAGTAGGACTGTAGTATTTGGCAATTTGGACAACGTGGTATGGCAAGGTTTTGGGGTTTCCACATAACTTATGTTTAAATAATGTTGACTTTTAAATTCTAACAGTTTTTGTCAGCTGTTCTGTGGTGGAAAAAATGTAGCTGTGTGAGTGACATGAGAAAAGTCAGAGGATTGGGCAGATGCGTAGAAGAACAGTCTTGGGATGTTGGTATACCGGGTGCAGAGCGTGTAGTGTGGAAAAAGAGAATGACATTGATTAAACTTTTGATTACCGAAGTACTTAATTTTGTAATGTTGACATTAAAAAGTCAAAGGCAGATGACAATGTTAATTATCTGCAGTGATCAGTTTACACTGTAAGAGGTCTTAGCACATTTGAACTTTGTAGGGACTACAGCTGTGGTCTCTGTAGTTAAATTGCAAGGATTGGAATAGTGTAGTTAGGTACACATTCAAGAGGCCTGGTATAAAGCATGTTTCTGCTGTTTCCACTCTGTTTTGGGCAAGACTTAGACATTATGTAGCATCTCTGAGATTAGACCATGGGAAAAAATGCAGTGAATTTCCTTTAAATGTAACAAATACGTTTACTTGCATTCTGTTCTACTACAGTTGTCTTGAGGATGCTACTAGGGTTGCTTGTTTTAATTTTCTTAAAGTGCTATAACAAGCATAAATGCAATTTAAAGAGAAATCCAGAGACTAGAATGACTTAAATTTAACTACAAGAATTGGCATTAATTAATTATGTGTGTGAACTAGCGTGGAAGTATATGCTCCTCTCACTTAGATGTAAGTAGAGGAGGTAGGCTTGCCCCTAGATGCTCTTTGGTGTTCAGCCCTGTGCAGGTTTCATAGTTCCTTTTGCTGTTACAGGATAACATTGTTCAGAGGTGATTTCCTTCTTTTCCATGTGTTCACTTACTTTGTGCAGTGCAACCTGATCAAATTATTAATGATACTCGGAGTACCTAAAGAAAAATATTTGGTAAAGTGTTTGCAGGCATAGCAGTGGTCTGTAGAAATGTGAAATTTAGTAAATCCTAATAGACATAATGTGGAATGTTAAACTTTGCATCTTGAGCTGTTGTCCTTTTTTCCTTATAAAGGTGTCATTTTTTTTCTGCTATCCTGCAGAAGAATTAGGTTGTTGCTTGTTTACCTAATAAAAATATTTACAGAGGAAACATTTGATATGATCAATTGGAAAGGAATTTAAACTAAATACAAAGTTAGTATATTAGCAACTTATTCTAACTATTTTATAATATAATGGAAAAGGAGGTTAATGATATGTTGAGATGAGAATTTTGTATATATCTAGATATTTCAGGAAGTTTCACTTGAAACCTCATGGCAAAGTTTTGAAGAGTAGGTGTGTGTTGTTGGCTCTGCATAGTTGATATTCATGTGTGAAATACTGTGTTATGTGTCTTCGATAGTTCAGCAAAGAACTGGCATCAGAGAGGCAGAGAGGAGCGGCCACACTATTGTTGTGCCACCTTGGAGTTTTGAGAACTAAGAATAGAACTGGCGAAGTTGAGGTAGCCCTCAGAAACCACTTGACATTCAGTGTCTCTTCCTGCTTTCTGCAGATGGTTCTGCTCTCTAGAAACTGTCGCCTTGTGCTATGTTCTCCAATGCAGCTTCCTCCCTCCTCTCTTTACAGTCTTGAACGGTTTATCTCAATGCCCTTTCTCAGCTTCTGTCATAGTAACCCTATTTCTAGCTAGATCTAGAACCTTTATAGCCTTTTTTAGTCCTTTATTTTATCTGGCCTAAATAGGACAGAGATTAATATTTTGCTGTAACTGTCTGGAAATTTTATGTGCTTTTCTTTGTATGATTTCCTCCTATGTTTTTTTTCTCCATTGCGTACTGAACTTTGAATTCTAGTCACTAGGAAAGCAATAACAATTTTCAAAACTTACATTTATGAGTACTTGGCTGTGTCTGTGTTACTTTTTGAAATTGTAACTTTTAATTTTCATTCTTAGCTTGTATTAAATTTTTGCAAAAGTTGGAAAAATGGTCGTGAAAAAAAGTGTATAGGTAGCCAGGACAAGAAGCCTGAAAACCAAGACTCTAGAGAAGAATTTTTAACTGGTTTCTTTCCTGAAATTTTAATAATTCTGAGTGAATCAGGATATTAATGAGAACATGTCTAAACACCCAGAAATTTTATAGAAGAAGTAAAGCCTGTCCATAGATATGAAAAAGAGGTTGCAGACTCTTTTTTTCCTCTCACAGTGCTTGTCTGTGTTGTCCCTTTTATTTGTGTCTTAAACCGGTTTAAAATTTGTGAGGGGTTTTTTTCTCATTTGAATTTTTGTTCTGATTTAAAAAAGAGGTCTCGTGATTAGCTTGAAGAATTTACTGTGTTTAAAGAAAAAAAGGTGGTGTTGAGCTTGAAAACACCACTGTATATATATAATAACGAAGTTATCTTTTTTCTTCCAGAATTTCCCAAGCTTGTATGGTTTTGAATTCGAACAGAAGACTAGAAATTGGAATTACCTTCACATTTCTTTGAGTACCAAGTAATAATGCAACGAAGGCAGGGAAGAGTGAATGCTGGACTGCTTTTGCTGCTTTATCACATTTCTCAAGTTGGACTCCAGAACATTCCTTCTGTTACCCTTGGGGTACTTGCACTGAATATTTTTCTCTTTCTGAATCCTGTGAGGCCACTGCCTGAAGTGTGTGTCAGTGTAAATGAAGTCTTCTACAGAAAGAACTGGCAACGTTTACTGCTTTCTCCTGTCCACCATGCAGATGACTGGCATTTATATTACAACATGATTTCCATGCTTTGGAAGGGGATAATGCTGGAAAAAAAGCTTAAGAGCATATGGTTTGCATACATAATTGCAGTATTTTCAGTGCTGATCGGGGTTGTTTATATGGTGCTGGAATTCATGCTCATGAAAATTCTGGATGATCCTTCATATGAGATGATTTGTGCTGTAGGTTTTTCAGGTAAGGCACATAGTTGGTCCAATTTACAAATGTAAAATTGATATTTATAGCTACTATATAGCAATGTTTGCTGAATGCAGAAAATGGATAGGTGTACAGCCATATGTATGTATGTGGTTGTTATGTCAGTAAAGTTGTCCTATTTTTAATTTAAAGCATGTCTTCTGGGTATGAATATGATGTGGTTCCATTCATTTTCTTGTGACTAGCAGTGTCTTTACCTGAGAATGTGAAAAATACAATCATCCCAGTAGAATTATGTTTTCTGTTTAATGTCACTGACTATTTGAAGTCTGAAGCTTTTGATTTTATGATGTCAATAATTCCCATTAGGTAGGTTCTGGAAAAGCCTATCACTTTAAAATTTTTATCTTCAAATTATGGGTTATTCATGCCTGTCTTTAGAGAGAGTCCCCTAGGTTTGTTTCGACTAGAAACATCCAGGCACCTGATTTTGGTCATCTTCCAGTAATGGTCTGATCTTCTCATTTAGGAGATCGAAGTTTCAAGTCAATGAACTCCTCTTTAAAAAAAATAAATATCTGCGGTCAAGTGGAGAAGTAGCACTGCTCTTCTAGATATGTAGTGTTTTTCCTTGCTGTCGTTGGGTCCTAGTATTAGAAGACAAGCCTTCCTTTTCAGCCTCTGAGAAATGTACTTCAACACCTCTGAGAGTTTCTTGTAATACTCAAATCGGTACTAGCTGGAATATCCTGGTAGTTGCTCGTTTGGAGCTTCCGGTATTCTCTGGTCATCCACCCTTTGGTGACAAGACATGCCCAGTTCTAATATTGGCCTTTATGGTGGCTGCAGGGGCCCTGAGTAGAGCTTCTTCCCCTGAGGTGTTTGACTGCCTATGCTCAAGGTCAGCTCTGATATGGGGTGGCTGTGACCGACCTCAGACTAGTGGGAAAAGAGGTATGTGAGATGGCTGAGAGAAGCCTGACCCCATGGGGGCCTTTTACCCTGTTGCTCTCTGCGTTGTCCCTGTCTGAGCTACGTTACCTCTGTGCCTGGCCATGTGCTTCTCTGACCTGGACCCTGACTTGGCTTCCTGACTGTCTTTGGCCCTGCTTTGTCAGGAGGATGTGCCTGGTCACCCGGGCTCCTGGCTAACCACACTTGCCGTCACCAGCCTGCCCTGTGTGCTTTACCCCAAGGACTATGGGACTGGACCCCTACTGGGAATGTTCCCGCCTGCCTGCCTCCCTGTTCCCTTTGGATACCCTTCCTTTGTGGAGCATACCACTCTTGCTGTTCCCTAACAGTGACTGCAGAAGCCTACGGAATATTTATTGTTAGTGGTGAAATGGTTGAAATGTGTGTGCTCTGTTCAGTCTCAGCTGGACTTTCTAGGGTTAGCTCTTACACAGTACTCCAGCTATTGCTGGGTGATTTGTGGGGGAAGTGTGCTCTGTAATGTTACTCTCTGTGAACAACTGGGAGATGCTGCCATCAAGCTTCTTTTTGAACCTATTCTTAGAATCATCCTGGACTGTAGGATGAGAAGTTGAGACCTAGAAGTTGTGAAGAAGAGTCTGGTTTGGGTATTCACTTATATGACACACCATTCATGTGAGGTTTTTCCTGTATGTTCCTATCAGTCCATACCTTAGAACAGCTTAGTATCAACCCAGTTCTTAGTAGGAATGAGAAGCGTGGTTATTTCAAGAACTTATGATGAAACCTCTTTATACTATATAACTGGGAATATGATACTAACATATAATTGGCTAGTGTTGAGATTTCACTGTAAGGTTTTTTTCACCAGATTAGTCTCCAGCTTCTCACTTAGCCAGATAGCAACTTCTATGTCCCTTTCCTTGAACCAGTAGAATGGAAGTTAGATTTAATGATTTAATTATCCACGTGGTGCAGGTTTATGGCTTCCCATGCTTTACAGCAAAAGGGACCAAGTTACTGAAGAGCCATGGTGCTGGCAGGCAGGGCAAGCACTGATGATGGGCCAGGTGGGGTCCCCATTTCATTCCTTACAAAAGATTAATGTCAACCAGACTACAATATTGGCTAGACCTCTAAACTACTAAACCGTTTGTGCAGAAGTCAAGCTTTTTGTCAGTTTAGGGATTACCTAATTGGATTTTTAATTTACATGTTCTGCAAGGTGAATCAGATCTAGCATTGAATATTGCAACCTGTTCTGATGTCACTTACCTTCTGCAGCATCTTTTGAGTATTCAAAGCTTGGAAATGTGGGACTGCAGTCTATGTGCATGTGCATTTGACCTTTATTTGGGCAGCAGATTAAAGTAGCTCTAACAGAGTTAGCATCCATAGTTGATCTTTCTAAACCTTCAACATTCTGAGCATAACCTTCAGCATAAGTAATTTCTCTTCAGTTGGGACAGGTGCCATGTATATGGAACAGCTGTTGAAGAAAATATGAGCATTTTCCTGATAACTATTTCTTTAAGAGCCAGCCTGTATGCCCATTTATGACCCTTTCACTTTAACAGGTTTTAAGAGTTTTAGGATGCCTGGATTTTTTTTAAATTTAGTTTTATTTTAAGTGGATGAAACAGACCTGCCCCTTGTCCCCCTGGATGGAACCTGACAATACACCAGGTCAGGCAGTTCCAATGGACACTTAAATGTATTAAAAAAAAGAAATCAAGCTGTACAGACAGGGTTCTGTTGAGCTAGGAGTGGATCGGATGGAGATCACTCCTAAACTACACTCCTACTATTGAATATTTCTCCCTTTTAGTAAATTTATAGTTTCTGAACAAGTCCGATTTTATCAGTAGCAAATAGCATGAGTGTGTGTGTGCCTACACACATTCCTGTTTATATTTGATCCTACAATAACAATATTTACATCACTTGGATAGATTAAGGAATTTTGCTGTCTCTTGTTTTCTGTGGTGTTAGAAGGGGAAGGAAACCTTTTTCATGGTTTTATTTATTATAACTGTATTGATGTTCAACTCTGCTATCTTTTCAATGTCAAATCTTTTAATTGTTGATTTTTCAGATTTTTTTTCCCCAGACAACTGTGTGGGCTTTCTTTTGAGAGGAACTTTTTCAAAAACATTTTGGAAGTTCCAGTAAATTATGCGAATTCATTCCGTCATATCGGCTGTTGCTTGCATGATAAAACAGTTGCAGTTAGAAATGAATGATTATTTGTTGTGATTAAAGGTGATTTATCTACTTTTTTTTTCAGAAACAAGTGATTCTGGAGTATATGTAAGATGATTTTTCATTAATTCAGAATTTGAGCCTACTGTTGAGCTTCACATGTATCTGTCTTGTTTTCAGTAGTGGCTTTTGTTACATCATGGAACATTTTTTTGAGTTCAATAATTTTGTCAACTATTTCAACTAGAACTCTGTTTTAAAATTGTTTGTATTGTTTTGAATACCTACAGTAAGTAGGCATATTAAAAAGCAACTTAGAACTGGCTGTTGCTCAAATATGTAATTTAAAAATTTTTTTTTAAGTCACTGAAAAGTATCACTGAAAAAACAGAACTGTTGTTCTGGCATGCGAGAGAATGCTTCATGGTGCTGTGAAACTGCATGGTTCTTCAGTTTCAGTAGTTAAGTTGTTTGTATGTCTTTATTAGTTGGGCACAAGTACTTCTATGTGATTTCTTCTTGTTTGCAGGAGTCTTGTTTGCTTTGAAAGTTCTTAACAACCATTACAATCCAGGAAGAGTCAGCAGTGTCCTTGGATTGCAGATACCCAGTAAATATGCTTGTTGGGTGGAGCTGGTGGCTATTTATTTAATTGCCCCAGGGTAAGTATATTTAATATTTGAAAGTTAGGAAGAGAGATTTTGGCTATCTGAAGTAGTTTGAAATGTATTACGAAGTGTGTGTAGTGTTAGCTGGTATCCAAATGAAGTGTTGGGGCTACAGTTAAGTGCTGAGGCTACAGTCTGCTTTTTTCCTTAACACACTCTATTTTGAGCTTATATTTTGAAATAAAAAACTGAAATGCTGTGCCCAGAAAGTATTCTTAAGTATTTGAGGGGTGGTAAAAGTTGACAGACAAGGAAAAGGGACATGTGTTTTTAGCAAAGTAACCAAACTAATACATAGTAGTGCTAAGGGCTTCATTAGCAAAACAGCATTCCACTGTTTGTTTGCTATTTCTGTCCTGGTCCTTTCTGTCCGTTTGTTGTAGTCACTTCTCTAATTTATGATAAAGCTATCATCCAGTATTCCACAAATTGTATGCAGTTTCATTGTCCTGCAGTCTTGCTGATTGTCTCCTGCTATTATCCTGTGTGCTCATTTCTGCCAGCACAGTTCATCCGCCCCTAGCTCTGTGAGCATAGTGCCTTTCTTTTCTTTGGCAGTTCGTTTCTGGAGTTCTAGTTGCAAATCTGTAATTTTCTTGTATAATATTTTATAACTGTCAGTCATATTGGAGAATATATGCGAAGTACAGACACCAAACTTACAAACTGTGATTTGGTAGTTTGTATACAATTTCCCACTTTTCAGAAAGATGTGGAAAAAAAAAGGGCAGCAATACTGACATATTCCTCATCAGACACTATGATATAACAGATAGTACATTTCTTAGACCAGAATGAGAATTCAAATATTACTTATGTTAAACACTGGTTTTATTGCTTTATGACTCACTGCCTGATTGACTGCAGCAAGGAATCCTATATTAAAAGACAGAAGAAATGCAGAGTGCTGTGTTCCAAATGCAGTTTTAAGTGAGCTGAGAGGTCACTTGCATGGCTTTACTACAAGTATAAAACCTAAGTTTTCAGTGCATTAAAAACATTCTTCTGAAAAATGTAAACTGCTGTGTAGTTGAACATAGTTTTTATTTGGTAATATGTTTAATACTACTGTTTATTTTATTATCAAAGAATAATGAGAGAACATTGTCTGAAGTAAGACCATGAGCATATCATACTGTATCTGGTAGAGAAAAACCCGTGAGTTTAGTGGTTGAGTGCTGTTGTTTTTCAGTTGTGTTACTGCAGAAATATCTGTGGGGTAGGTGGTGCATAGAAGGTCCAGAAATCGTGTCAAAAACCTTTTCATAATTTTATGGAAGCTTAGATTGCTTCCTGATCAAAAGAACCTCTGCATTGTTATATGCAATCTTGATAGTTAGGACAGTTTCACAGCACTTAAATGATAATGGAGGCCATAGAAAATAAGTAGTAATCTCCAGAAATTCATGTCCCAGAACACAACATGTTTAATTAGTAACTGCCAACTGCCTTCAAATGAACCATAACAATTGTAGCGCTCGGAGGATTGCTTTTGCATGCTCAGGGCATGTTGTAATACTTGAAGTGTCTGATTAAATGATGTCCCTTTGTAGATCAAGTTGCATAATTTAGTTTTGAGTAGATAAGAGGTCAGTAATTGATGTAGAATTCTGTCCAGTCAGAAGGACATGCCATAAATTTGCACCTGCCTTAGTGGAATGTTGTATCAAGATCACCTGAGAATCCATAACCAATGAAGGATTCAAAAGTAACATTGAGGCTATTGAAAACTTCAATTTGTATGCTAAGAGAGGATTTAGGATTTTACTAGTGTCTGTTAATTCTTTTTCTTTCACATTAATGTTTTTGTTATGGGGAAATTTTAAAAGACATGTAATATCTTTCTGATCTTTGCCTTCCTTATAGTAAGGATACTGAGATGTAGGCTTCATATAGCAATCCTTGAGATTATTTCTTTGATGGAAGAACAGGCACGTGAAAAGTTATCTTATGTTTAATCTCTCTGCCTCTTCCAGAACTGGGCATATGTGGTATCTTAAGTCATCTGTCCCTTTTGCATGGAGGTGCTTTACCTATACTCACTATTAAAGGAAAAGTTGATCTTTCACGTTGTTTCTGAACTAACTCCAATATTTATCAGATTGACAAAGATGACAGTTTGGGGTTGGAAGCTTGACATTACAGTTTTTTCAAACTTCTTTTTCAGAAACTTAAGAGTAACAAAGGATGAAAATAATGGGAAAGTGGAAAGCTACAAGTGGAAAGAGTAGAGCATGTTGGTTTTTTCAGTGTTCAGAAGCATTGAGGTTTCATACTGTGACTGTTCAGAATTGCTTTTTTTCCACAGTTTGTCAGAAATAGTGAGGCTTCCTATTCTGGAGTTCAGAGAATCTCAAAGATGTCTAACATTTTGGTAGCTAACTGCGTCTCTGAAAACAGACTTAGGCATTTCCATAAGCCTCCTTTTGACCTGTGTTTTGATAGGTTTTACTGACTTTCAGGTGTCTAATAATGTATTCTGGATCCATGGATGATGCAATTCATAAAATGTGTAATTCTTCTTACTTTAGTTTTTTCTATTTTCTAAATTAGTCTTAGCCTTAAGTTTGTTTCCAAGTTTCTCTTCATAACTTTTCCTAAATAAACTATATTGTTAAGTGTTGATCTGAGCCAGTTGTATTGACTTTTCTCTTTTTTTTTTTTTTTTTGGCAACTTAAGATCTTATTAGAGTTCTTAATCTTAAAAAAAGAGAAGACTTTGCAAACTGAGAACTATCCCACAGAAGAACAAGAGCACAGCAACAGATCTACATTTGGCAATAGAGATGCAGATCATTGTCATAAGCATTCATAGCTGACAATTGAAAATGTTATATGGTTGTAATGTATAATGAATCAACAATGACAATTGTTAATTCATTTCACCTGAGTTCAAGGATCCATGAGAAATCAAAATCTCAAAGCAGATCACATACAGTCAAAATGGGTAAACATAATAGGAATACTGAACTTCTCATTTAAAAAAAGCCCACAAAAATGACTTATATCTATTTAAAAATATAAGAATGTATTTGGACAAATCTGGTTTTAAATTTTTATTATTTTGCCTTGTACCCTTCTCAGTCTCAATCTGGTACAGTGTCTGGTGTGAATACAAATATTTTGCATAGCTGTAATAAACTTAACCTCATGAGAACTTTTGTATGTATCTATTTTCCTATTTCATCTGCTTTTTAAGTTTCTCAGTTGTTTAATGCTTAGGGTTATCACTGAGCCATCACTGGTTATCATTTAGATTACTGTTGAACTGTTTATTATGCTCTTTGTTGATCAGAACTGTTCCTCGGGAACAGAAGGGCTAAGAGCAGCCAATCAACCAAAAAAACCCCAGGTTTGACAGGAATGGCATTACATGATGAGAACCACTTTATAGCCTTTCATTCTTTTGTCAAACTTAGTGTTTACTTTTCTAAGCTATTTTCACAATGTGTTACAAAATTACTAACAAGTTTCCCTTATTCATTTCAAGAAGCAATGGTATTTTCCTGTATAGGGCTGCATAAAACAAATTGACTTTTACTTATACAGTCATTTAATTCGGTTTAATTTGCATTCAGGTAGGTTGTTTAGCACTGGTAGATTGACTACATGGCCTACTTTCTAAGCAAGATTAAATTTTGTAGCAAAGTGTTTAAATTGTCATATGCAGGTGATTGTGCTTGTGTTAATTTGGAAAAAAACTATGTATAAATACACAGATTTGATTCCCATGGTCTCAAAAAATGAATTGTTTTTAAAAAATGAAGTTAGTCTAGGTTCTTGCAGTATGTCGCTTTGGAATTATTCCTTTGCTTGCTTGTTCAGTGAATGCAAGCTTCCTAGCCTAGCCTTGGAATAGGAGAGGCATGGAAATAAGATCTTTTCACAAAAGACCGCAGGAACGGCTTAAGCTAAAGACATACTTTTGTTGCTGCATAAGTGGCTTTATCCTGTGGTAGAATTGCATGCGTAAATAATAATGCCTACCAGACTGGGATTTGCTGCTAGGAAGAAATTATGGAAGTTAAGTGATAGGTGTAGACTTTCTTGCTCTGTTTTCATTTGTTGAGTTAGGTGACTGACACCACAGAGTTGAAACAATTCAGGTTAAATTCGCCAACAGTGAGGAATTGATTTGAATTAATTGTAAGGATACTGTAACAATATTAATGTAAAAATTAATACTGAGAGGCTTGTAAACATTGGGTATGAATCTCTCTTACATGAAAAGCAAATGCAGTCCAAATTGTTTTCCCTCTAGTGATACCAGTTTTCATGGAAATTACACAGCCAAATGAAAAAGTATAATTAATTCTGTTTAGAAGATTTTTGTGAAGTAATGTGCACATCAGCTTGATGGCAAATGTCTTCAGGAAACAGTGTTTAGACATGTTGGATAATTATCATTAGTATGAAGTGAATAGTTGAGATAAGATCTCTGGGGATATCTACATATTCAAACAAAAAGTTAAATGAGACATCATTTGAATTTCTTGGTACTAGGGAGAACATTAGTTAATATTGATAAAGCTCATTGACATTTAGAGAAAAAAACATGCAATTTAAAAAGTCAAGAACCCTGGTTTTGTTCCCATTCAAAGTTCAGGTTGTATTATAGAAACTGAAAATTGAACTGTAAAAAAAAAAAATATCTGTCAATTTTTCTTTACTAACCAGCAGGAAGTAAGGCAGTACTTTATCATGTTGCAATAGTGAGAATATTTCTTCATTTGTCTAACTGAAAAATAACAGTCAATTTTTACCTAGTGAAATATGCATTCCAGTCAAGACATTGCTGCTATTCTTATGAATAGTGTAAAAAGCCTGTTTTGGAATCGATTGGTAATGAAGTTTGCTTTATCACTGATATTGTAAGAGTTTCTGATTATATCCAGGGTTATTTAGTGTATATAAAAAGCAGAAGATAGGAGTAACCTCAGTTTTCTGGATTAGACAAGAAAGAAGAGTGGAATTTATAATACAAGTGAAAGGAGCCTT